TCCCTCACTATTTTTTTTTTTTCTTTTTTGTTAATGATAGTTTTTTCTGTAATCATTTCTTATGATATCCCTAGGCTCATGGATATGATGGAATTCATGCCACTTTAGTTTGTCCTTATTTTATCAATACAGGAATGTTCCATGGAGTGAAACCCAGGTATATATTTTTATGAAACTTCAATTTTTATTAAGGTGATCTGGTATATGTAAAAATGTATGATTTGTAGATTGATGCCAATGTTAGAACCTGAGTATGTAGCTCAAGAAGTTGTGTCAGGAATATTGGTGAATCAGATAATGGTTATACTACCTGAAAGTGTTAGATATCTTTTACCACTCAAATGGTAAGTTACAGGAATTTTTTATATTTCAAATACTATAAAAAAAAAATTGACAACAATGACCTTTTTTTTTTTTATAAAAGCTTATTGCCAGCAAAAATGTGCTGGGCTCTAATGTATCATATTATACGTGGACCTCAATCTATGATGATGTTCAAGGGAAGAAAGGAAAAGCAAATATTGAAAAACAATAATAACTTAGCTGTAATGTCCAAAGAAGTACATGTACACTAATCTATGGAGCTTCGTTCAAGTTCGATAATAATTTACGATTTAAAGTACAACAAATGCATGAAAAACAAATATTGTCTAGATCGTACTTATAAGTATTATTAGAAGTAGTTATGGTTACATGCACAGCAGGAAGTTCATTCACTATTATATTAAGACTGAACATTTATTTATACGTATAAATTGCGTTTGGTAATTATTCTTATTTTTTAAATACCAAGTATGTTTGTAATATATGTAAAAAAATTTACAATAAATCGTAAAAATAATGTAATCCCTGACCGAGCTCCCAAATAGATATACCTGTACCTAATTCCGCTGCGAGATCCAGTCGGTGTAAAATAGAATATAACGTGGGATAAAAGATAATTCCACTGCTCCCTGATGATCTGAAATACATCCTCAAGTTTTATATTGAAGCAGTTTCTCTCAAATAATAAATTCTCTTACAATCCTGAGTCTTACTTCACTTCAAAAAAGTGTTCTTTGCTGTTATCATCCCACTGAATTTTCCCTTTGTAGGACTCCAGAATTTTTAGATAATCTGAACCTAAGATAGCACCTCCACCTTCAGGGGTATAATTGTATCCATAGAAATTAAGACCTAATAATATTTGAGCCCTTTTAGGACCCTCTTCAGGTACTAGTAATTCTACACATTCCCTCATCCAATCAATGGGACTATTAGGTCCAGGACGTTGAATGCTTGAATAGTCATATGTCATTAAAGAGAATGCTTTTAAATATGGTGATAGCTCATTGAAATTCTCTTGATTAAATAACTGAACATTTACACTGAAAGGTTGAAAAATAAATGTGCTTGATTCTAGTTTTACTTTATAAATTATATACAGAGTAAGAATAACAATTTACCTACAATAAAAAGTAGTAAGACTTACCCCCTTGATGGTGGCACTGCCAGAATTGTATCTAAATTATTTTTCTTTAACTGTTGAGCAATAGATTGAATCAGTGATATAACAATCTGTGTATCCACACCTGCTAGGACAAACTGATTCCATATTTCCAAAACATATCCATCAAAATGGAAGTTCTAGAATATTATATCATTCTTACTAAAACAGTATTGTAAATATTTAATGTATAGTGCATATTTGTACGTGTACCTTTGCAGTATCTATGAGTGCTGAAATTACAGCAGTTAGTCTGTGCGTGTCACTGTACAATTTAATAATATCATTAATTGACCAGTGTTCAAACAACACTCTTGTTAAGACTGTAAATAGTTTTACACATCTTTATTAGTAAAAGATTATTAACACTTTATTAAAAATTTGATTTACCTTTTACAGAATGACCCTCATTATTTGCTGTTCTGATTTCCTTCAGCCATTTTTTCTGAACATCATGAGTTGACAGCTTATATGTCGATGCATTGCCTTCAGGAAATGCTAACCATACTGGCGAAAGCATTGTGAATTTTCCATGGAATATTTTGGAAACTTCAAATCCATTGTTATTCCACTGAAATAGGAAAATATAGTTTTAGTTAAGTCAGAATATATCACATCTTGCAATTAAATTGTTCTGTGTAATCAAATATTTATTTTTATTTGTTTTCATCATATTTTTTACAATCAATCAAGAAACTTACCGGTGTGATATATCCCAAAACATCTCCAGTAAATTTTCGATTGGTTGTGTTAGAAAAATAGAATCCAGACTCTCGAATAATATCCTGTATTTTGAGGTTTTTCACCACTAAATTCCTCATAAAAACATCCTGACCCACAGGACCTTTCTAAAATCCCAATATGTACAAAATTAAATACATCGTTCCCAAAAATTTATTATAATTCTATTTTTTCTACCTTATTTTCAATTTTTCCTTTGCTTTTTTTACTAATTTTATCTTTGGGTGGTGACAATGTACATTCTGATAATTGAACGAATAATAATAACCCAATCGTTAATGCAAAAATATTCATAATAATTGATTATTTTCAATAGCAAGTATTCGAAATCATTAATTATTACTTCGTCACATACGTGGCTAAAGTATCATTCAAAGGATATTGTTGGAATTGTGAATAGAATGCGCTACTGTCAATTTATATACATATAATTATATATACCTAATGGAATAATTTGCATTAAATTATATTTTTGATCCTACATTTATGTGTGATATCAGATATATACAATACAAAATTTTGTTAAAAATTGGAACAAAATCGTGTACGCCAATGCTAAATTCCCTTAACTGTACTCTAAATAGAGCAGTGTAAAATATATATAAAAAAAAAAATAAAAATGATTGGAAATTGCATTAACACTTCTTTAAGCATTTTTTACCACGTGACTAGGTCACATGATATGTGTTTTGATGTAACATGGCGCCTTTAATTGTCACTGTGTAATAAAATTTCTAAAAGGATGTGAAATTTTGTTAAGTGTTGAATTTGAAACTCAACACAGAATGCCAGTTGATATAAATCGATTAACGGAAGGTTGGCTAGAACTGGAAAGTGACCCAGGTATAAAGTAATGGTCATGCGAGTATGTCATTTTAATGACGATTAACACCAAAATATCTGAATGCGTTACGAGAGCACAGTAGTTTTTGTTGACGTAGTACTAAAGATTACATTCTACGCAATAGAGGTGCAAAATTTATAGTACATTTGATAAAAAAATATTTTGAAGTGTTTTTGTCTCATTTCACTATATTTGTATACAATCATCATATGTATAGCATATTCTAATATTATTGGAGCAAAATGAATAAATGTTTTTCTTTTTTTTTGTAATATTAGAGGTACAATCTATATAAGGATATTATATACAGATATTTTATATTGCCAGGTTTATTCACACTGCTATTGGAGGATTTTGGAGTGAAAGGTGTACAAGTAGAAGAAATATATGATCTGCAAAAATCATTAGAAGGTCCAGTATATGGTTTTATATTTTTATTTCGTTGGATAGAAGAGAGAAGGTCTAGACGCAAAGTTGTAGAGCAAGATGAAAGTTTTGTGAAAGATGAAGAAATTGTTAACAATATATTTTTCGCACAACAGGTACATTCATTTTTTATAAAGATACTTTATATGTATGAATAACATGTAAAAATTTATTTTTTAAATCATCCATTGTATTATAGGTTGTGCCCAACAGTTGTGCTACCCATGCACTATTATCTGTGTTACTTAATTGCCCAAATATTCATTTGGGTACAACTTTATCCAGATTGAAAATGCACACATCTGGTATGTGTCCAGAAAATAAAGGATGGGCAATTGGTAATACACCTGAATTGGCTTGTGCACATAATTCACATGCAATGCCTCAGGCCAAGAGACGTCAAGATAAGAATACTGGAGTTTCAACTGGTAGATTTACAGGGGAAGCTTTTCACTTTGTTAGTTATGTACCAATTAATGGTAGACTATTTGAATTGGATGGTTTAAAACCATATCCCATGGACCATGGTCCATGGAAGGAGCATGAAGAGTGGACAGAACAATTTAGGAGAGTAATTACGGATCGTTTGGGAATGGCAACAGGGGAGCAATTGCAAGATATAAGATTTAATTTAATGGCTGTTGTCCCGGATCGTCGACTTGCTATCTCACATAAATTAACAATGTTGAAAACTAATAGACAAATAGTATTAGAAGCGTTGCAACAACTTGTTAAATTAAGTCATCCAGATGGAACGGAAAAAAATTCGAATGATTCCGAGAAATCGGATAAATCGTATGAAAAAAAGAGTAAAACAGAAGATGAAAATGCCTTGCCTAATAAATCAGAAATTGATGAGTCTTCAGTGCCAACTATCACAGTTGAAAGGAACAGTGATACTGTAACAGATACTGAAGAGCCAGCTTCAAGTTTAACTTCTGGAAAGACTGAACCAAAGTAGGTAAAATGTGATTTGACAATACTTATAGAGTATTTTATTATTCAGATAAATTTATAATATATACATAAATGTTTTAGTGGTATGGAAAAAGTAGTAATGTGTGCATTGGATTATGCTACTCCTCTCAGAATTCAGACTTCGCCGGCACATAGTTCGTCTAGTACGGACACATCATCCGAAATAGGATCCGCATTTAATTCTCCAACACAAGGTAAGCGGAAATATATTTCTCTCTTATGTTGTTCTACAGAGACGTTTCGTCGTACAAACCTTCTTAGTTTGGCAAAATAATAAGCTGTTTGGACACGTCATTCTTATGGATTTGAAATTCTGCGAATTTCCTCCAGCAGAATAACAAATATAATAACGTGATTCAGACGTGGGATCTTTCATTTTTCCCTGTTCGGTACATATATTTTTGTTTGGCATATTTAACTGCAATATATTTTCCAAACCTCCTGATGAATCTACTTCCTCTTTTCTATTTTCTATACATTTATTGTAAGTCTCCATATCACATGTTTTTGCATATTTGTTAAAGGCAGTATACAATGGGCATAAATATTCTATTACAGAAACCATTTGTGGTTCACATATGTAATACCTAATACAATCAGTCATATTTGGCATTCGAATATTTTTTATGCATGGAATAACGTGAACAAATTGCGAATCTAAACGATAACCTAATGATTTGTATTTTTCAACAGTTAAATATTGTTTGTTTCCTGCATTATCAGAAATTAAAATTATATTGTTGTTATCGTCTAAATTTTCGAACACCATTTGCAATACATCGCTTGAACTTTCCATATTTGACACACTTGCATTCAATTTATCTGCAATATTTTCTTTTATAATTGCACTGTCTTCAGTAACATTCTGTAATTTTGCACCAGTTATAATGGTGTTTTGTAAATTATTATTTTGCTGAATATAATTCTGTATAAGGTAACTGGATAATGGCAAGTTTGAAGCAGGTCTTGAAGGTGTAGATAATGATGATACTAAGAATTCTAAGGGAATAGTAATCTCTTTGTAAATTAGCAAATGATGTACCAATTTATTCAGCATTGAATCTGTATTGATTGTAGAAACATTATTTGCATTATTTTCGATTGTTTCCTCAAATTCTATCAGAGGATATGGAGTTGCTATTTCTTGATTAGATTCATCAGGAATGCTATCAGTGGTATATGATGAATCAATAAGCTCAGAAAAATTCAAAGGATCTTCGGTTGATCGCATGTAACTAGTTTCATTTGGATCAAGTAATTCAGGGGTATCATACCTCTTTGTTATATAAGATGATTCTGTTGATAGTGTGTCACATGCCCAAGAATCACCAGGTAGAACACACATTCTTAAATATGGTTGAAATATCTGAAGATGGAAATGTTCGAGAGTCTCAAAGAATAGAAAATTTATTTCAGTTAATGATGTTAACATAGTGATTATCTTACCAAGCCTTCTGTGCATTTACTAGGCACCCAAACATAACCACCACCAGGCAAATTCACGCAACTGTAAAATATAGTGCAACTAATGGAATGAGGCTTCCTTGATTCTGGACATTTTGATGACTCAGCCATAATAAGAATAGAATATAGAACAAAAATTATCAGTCTCATTTTATTGTACTGTCTTACATGCTGTTGTATGGCAGACTAAAATTCCAGTGGCTCTGGTATTATTTGCTTTTCACACATTCCCCCATTCTTCATTTCCTTTGACACCTCTGAAGTACAGTTATTTGACCTATCCTTTTGGAATATTTTACTGTTTCTCATGATATGATCAGAAAAGTTTATTTCATGCAATATATTGTTTTCATTAATATATCTCTGATTCATAGCATGGGGGTGGAATTCTGGTCAGAGCAGTCCAACATCCACAAAAGATTTCAAAAAGTTTGTTGTAATTAGAGTCTCTGGAGATGAGAAGAATGAGGCAGGTTTAAGTACGTATTTTGTCATTGTTTCGTTATGTTTCTCGAATATGGTGTATTCTCAAACTATAGTAGTAAATGAAATCTATGTCCATAAGTAGGTCGTTCTCTTGGGAACATTAATATAAACGGAAAAAGATTAGTTTCCGACAGTGGGCACTTACATAAAAAAGTTTGCCTGTCTGGAGAAGTTAGAATACCTCATGCCAGAGTAAAGACTAGTAACGGGGATACTGTTACTGAAGAAAAGAAGGTCGAAAAAATCGATCCGAAATTATGTTCGAAATATCCGGAATTATTCGAACCGCATACGTTCGCGCCCAAAGATCTTCTAGCGTTATTGAAAAATTTAGAACACGAAATAAGTATTTGTGAAACTAGTTTAAAAGATGAAAATGATAAGAGGAATAAGTACAAGGTAATAGTCTTGAACTGACCATACATATGAGTAACATTTGTGATATAAAATATTATAAAAATATTATTTTATTTTAGATTGATGATTGTCGTAGGACGCATAATTACGACGAGTTTATTTGCACCTTTCTTTCGATGCTTTTTTTTTGTCAGTGAACAGGGTTCACAGGTAAGAAACTTTATTATAATACCAATTAAGGATGCAGATTATTTAATGTACAAAATATTTGTAGATCTTCAAAGAAGACAGATACTCGTCCTAACTCTTCGCGCAGACGACGAGGTAGAACCAAGTGCAAAAAACGGAAATAATCTTCAAATTAAATTAAAGCAAAAAAAATGGAGTTGTTATTCCATCTATCGAATTGTCAATACTGAAAAATTCTTGGAATCATGGCAAGAACATAATTTCAAGAAGATAAGGGGCATGTAAAAAATTGTTGAAACAAAAGGGAGCATGGATTGTGTCATTCTTCGCAATATTTATGTATTGAGACGCTGAATCATCGGCACTTTTACTTTTTAACGAGGATAGATATTTTTTTAGACAATCTATTTGATTCGTCGGCAGTGCTGACCGTAATTTTTTTACGTTCAAAATTCAATTTCTGCACAGTGTTGATAATTATACGTTTACGATTGTACAAATTAACTTTACGATATTTTTTTTTATATTAACGCGTGCTATCTATTTACCGTCACTGTATTTATAGACATTGTGAATCGTGTACCCTTTTGGGTATGCTTCAATAATTTTTATCCTTTACACCTATTACGTTATTTCTTATGAAATACATAATTTCTTAGATACGAATGTATAGCATGTATTTATTTTTTACGTTGTGTTAAAGTTTTACTTTGATGGGTAAAAGATACAAAATGATGATAAACCAAACATTCTCCAATATTGTCAAAAACATTGAAAATATTTATTTCGGTATTCATATACAAGTACACTACACGCTGTGGATATGTCCCTTAGATCTAAATACTTATATCTCCGTACAGCCGGAGAAAGGAGGATAAAAAAAAAACTCATCTTGGAATCATGTTTATCGTGGACAACGGTCGACCGAGTCTCTCTATAAGTCGCTTTACCATACTGTATAGGAACTGTATTCGAAACGTTCTCAAAGAAGCTATTTCAGGGTACAAGTATACAAGGAGACACGATGTTTCGGTAGTGTGATATTATCGTTGAAAGTTCCTTCTCCGGCCGATGATCGGTTTATTCGCCTTCAATATTTCTGCGCCACATTGTTTTTTCTCATCGGCACGAGTAGCGTGCTTTTTGGCAAAAGTAAGAAGAAAGGTGCAGTTATGTACAAATATATTGATTCATGGTCGCCGTTGGTCGAAGGTAACGTTTTCTCTTGTGGGCAAGTAAGTCGTGAGATAAAAAGGTTATTTGGAATTCGCGAGCAAGAACCTGCGACGATCACCACACGCAACGGTTCATGTGGTATCCTCTTACTTTCTTTAATCACAAACGTGACTGATCACGAGCTCAAACATTCGTTATTTACAAAGCGCACGTCTTTCTCTCGTCCTCGTGCTTCTTAATCTTGGCCTGTTAGAAAAAATCTGTAGCTTTTAACTGCGAGATACAACGTTTCATCTTCGTTACTATAGGCACTCGTGGTATGTTACAGTAAATCAACTGCAGAACGATGCAATCGATATTATGACAGTCGAGCTAGGGATCGAGTATTCGATATTAAGAAAGAAGAAAAGTACATTTAAATTGAAGCAAGTCATTAATGAGCACATTCGTCCGACAGTTGATGAAAGAAACATTAATCATACTCGTATCACTGCACGACGTGTGATCACTATTATAACGACCCCCTTTCACTCTGAGCAAAACTGTGAAACGTTCAAGCGGCGGCAGTATAAAACAAAAAAGAGAGAAAAAAAAAACTAATTCATCGAGTATCGTCGTCGGCAGTCGTTCGCAGAACATTATCGATAATCATATTAATACAAACATGTATAAAATATAGAAAATTCACGCGAGGAAAGTAACAACGTAAAAAATACAAACGAGTGAGAAAAGTAGGGTTAGGGGAGAGTACAGAGAGGGGGGAATAAACACAGATACGAGATCCTTCCGCGAATAACGCCGATCACGATTAAATACAGTCTTGTGATGTGTCTTAGAAATCTTAAGAAACGTTTAAACGCCGCAGATCTGCAATCACACGTCTGGATCTGCTCAGAGACATATTCGAACCATGTTCGAACATGATACAGTTTTGAGCCTAGTCCGCAATACGTTCCTCTCGACATTGTAAACGCCACAGAAAAGTAGTGCGATCGCCGCATCTAGGTCTCGATTATTTATGGTTGGCGCAGTTGTTTCCCGTGACATAGGCAGAACCATGCAAAAATAGCACTTTCAAGAGAAAATCATGTCTTCTAACGTTACATTTTCTATTGGAAACATTACTTTAGACAGTTCTGCATAAACGATTAACAATAATAAATAAAGATATACTTTACAAATATAGTGGCTTCAGGTTAACTTTTTGTGGCTTATCACACTGACGTACGACGGGAGGCGTAGACGAACCACCAATCATAATTAATTCAATTATTTTTAATAAATATTAACAAAACAAAATTATTACAACGAATTCTACACCGATTTTCGAGTTAATTCGTCGCTTTGGTTTTTATTACGCGTTCGATCGACGCCTCCGACGTTTACCAGAAATTTTCGAAAAGAAAAATCCCTTCGAATTTGGCGCGTGGTCTCGACAGCTTTCTTTCGTTTCCGACGGTGTTCGATAAATCGAAGGATGTGTATGCCCTTTCTGTTTTTTTTTTCCTTTGCGTATGACACAAAAGCGTTTGCTCACACACATGTACGCGGACACACGGATACTTTAACACGTTCTTGTCTTATACTCTCACGATATCGAAAAATACGTTAATTTGAAGAAAAAAATATATATCGTATTTATATGTATGTATGTATATATACATACACACATACATATATATACATACGTGAATGTATATATGTATATTCCTTGCATACGTGCACTATGTATATAATTACATAACACCTATAGGCTCGCTTAATACATTGGATACCGCGCGGTTGTTTTTTTTTCCCCCGGTATCCGACAAGTCTCGCGGTTCACTTTTCGTCCCGACGAACAGAGAGAAGAAGAAAGCAGCTCAGAAACACGCGCGTTGGCGCCTCGTTTGTTCTTTTCTTGGCTCTTAATATTTCTTCGGCCACTTTTTTCGAGGGTTCCACGAAGCACCAGCGTACGTAACAAATTCGAAATAATGTACACACGCATCCTTTCTCGTTTATACGTTACATATGTACACACACGGTCAAGTTAAACACTAATAGCAAAAGTATAAAAAGAAAAAGAAGAATGGGGATGGTCTGGAGATAACGATGAGGCGAAGAGGTCCGCTGGTAAATGACAGATGCTTCACAAGGTTGAATTTCAGTGAATCTTCCCTTGTTTTTGCGATGATCAATATATATGGTTGATGATTTATTTTGGAAAAGAAGAGATCGTGAACATTAAAAGGGGAGTTATTGCTCTGCTTGATAACGATACGGAGGGGGATTAAATCGTTAAGGATAACTGGCGGTTGTGAGATAGCCGGTTGCGCGACCAATTATCAATCGAAAAAATAAATTCGTTTTTTTTTTTATATGGAAAGGGAAATTTAAGCCTCGTTAATCGGAAGATCTTCGAAGTCATTTTTTTGTCCGATTTTTTGTCTCTCAACATTTAATTAACGATAAATGATAAATAAAAATAAATCGTCCGAAGACCTTCGAATTAACATTAAAAATGCTCGTTTCCCTGTCCATTCTATAACAATATACGAATCGAATAATATCGAGTTATTCGAGAATCGTTGCACGAGATAGCCAATAAATTCAAAATGAACTAGCTAGCGACAATAATGATAATAACATTAAACGAAACAGTAGTAGCCTAAAAAAGTCTTACAGCATAAGTTACTTATACCCTAGGATGTCGCATCTTCTTTATCATCTAACTCATCGTTACGATACCGTGGACAGCAGAAGAGTACCCTATTTGGCAACCAGGGCATCCTTCGACGAATAAAACGCACCCGAATTTCCGTTTCCCTCCTGATAGAACCAACTGTAGCCTTTCTTGCCTCGTCTAGTCGATCTCTAACCGTTATCCGACCGATAAGAAATCGTGTATATGATTCGTTTCACGCGACATTGGTCGTCTACCAAAGTACACGCGGATCCAATACTGCAACGTCGGTAGTAATCGCTTCAGATAGTAGAATCTCTACCGTACAAAAGAACGAAACGACTACTACCACCTAATCTTCAATCACACGTTCGTTGAACATATAATCACCATCGACAAAGTCTCTCCTTCGTCTCTTATATATCATGTCCAACGTGATACAGCTCGAGGATCTTTGGGATCTGTTCGAGGATCGCAAAGAGAACAATTCTTCGCATGTTTGCCCCGCGAAGAGAGTCACCAGGAGGACCCAGTTACTCTTTCACGGCCCACTGACCGTGGCGTTTGCTGGTAAAGAATGTCCCGTGACCAAACTGCTCTCCGTTGGTTTGCCTAAACGTAGTATAGACTGAAGGGACGCCACCTCGGAAGCAAGACGGTCAAGCCTCGACTTCACCTCCCTCTCGCTCTCAGGAACGGCAGATACGTTGGGTCCAGTCCACTCTGCACCCAAGGAAATCCCAGAATCACGTTCGTCGCTGGAACCTTCGTTGTCCCAAGGTGGAGACGCTCTTGGTCCAGGCTCCTGTTTGATACCCTGAAGCGCTAGAAGCGCGCTAGCCGCATCCTTATCACCGATACGCGACTTGTGCCTCAGTTTATGAGGTAGACTGTTGTTAGCTGCTGGGTTCACCACCAATTGAGGACCCTCATCTCCGCTTCCAGAGGATAATTCGAATGGAGATTGAGCTCGTCGACCTCGAGACAGGTTCAGAGCGCTCGTCGTGTCCACATGCATCGCTGGATGAGGATAGGGATATTGGAAACTCTCCGTCTCAGGGTAAGACGTTGTTTCAGGCACGTAAAGCTGTGCAGGTGACCTAGGTGATCTTGCTCCACTGACTGGTTGATGGATCACCGAGGTGTGCACGGGACTAGGCGTTCTAGCGTACAGAAGAGCCGCAGAGGCTGGTATTTTCGCCCTCTTGACGCTAATAGGTGGATCAGCTGGTAACGCGGCCAGCACGTGCTCCGTGCTGATCACAGACTCGCCACAAATACCAAACTTGTCCCGTATCGCCTCGAGCTGCGTCTTTAGGATGTGGTTCTCCTTGCTCAGCTCCATGACACGCTGCTCAAGCACCATGTCGTTGAAACGCCTCTTCTCACGGGACCGCTTGGCCGCCTCGTTGTTGCGTCTCCTGCGATCCCAGTAGCTGTCGTCCTTCTTGTTGTCCGGTATGAACTCCCGTTGCTTGCGCTGGGAAAATAGCTCTTTTCTGATGTCGAAGTTCGGGGGGAAATTTTCAGGGTGTGTCACCTGTTGGGCGTCGTGGTGATGGTGAGACGGCGGCTGCTGCTGCTGCTGTTGCGGCTGCTGCTGCTGAGGCTGGTGATGATGGTGGTGCTGTGGTGGTTGCTGCTGTTGAGGTGGTGGCTGGTGTTGGGGTTGGTGCTGGTGTTGTTGCTGCTGTTGCATGCTCAACGGGGCACCATGATGACCTGGATGCGTCAATGGGGGTAACGGGCCATGGGCGTCGTGAGCACCATGACCATGACCCGCGTGTGCCATTGAGTGGGTGGCGGGCATGTTGCTGTTCAAACACGCGGTCTCACCATTGATGGGCGATCCACTCTGGCGGGCGACAATTTCTGCCACCATAATTTGTCTTCTTAGTACATCTGCAATGTGAAAAAACACTAAGGTTATGCACTGAATAGAATAACCACAGATTATGGAGGACAGAAGCAAGATTTGTAATAAAACTTGGCAGGATATACGCAGGAATAAATCTAGTCAGATTAATAGGACTGTATATTATTTCGACTGTTGGAGTTTCAGATAGCAAGGAAACAATTCTTCGAGTCAACAACACAGCGGACGAGTTTATTAACGGCGGTGACGAAAGTGGCGCAGCAGCGTGCCAAAAGATCACGATGACGACGTGCAGCAGCTTGGTGACTTGTCAGCTTAATCATGTACCACGTATAAATTGATCCAACTATGCTCGTGTTAATAATCATTTGCCTCTGATGATTCTATAGTTTTACCAATGTCTCGTTAGTGGAACAGAACCTGAAATGGTGGAATACGTATGTTTAGATGTATTGTTCGAACGCAATGCTTCCTATTTTGGACACAAGGTCCTTCCAGCTTTTTAATGGAACATTTATTAATCCAAAGTGACGCAAATACGCGGACTGAACAGCTTATTTGTTATCCTAGACACGTACGAAATGTAGTCCTTGCGCGGCGGTGTCACGCAACAGTCGAGTGACAGGCCATTGCAGAAGAAGGTCGCGCGATACGGAATCAGGAAGAAGGAAAACAATCTCGAGAGATCTCTACAGATAGCTGACCTCCCTGGCCGCCTTTTTCTGACTCGGTCGCCTCGATTACGCACGCGCCATGTTTTAGATTACGATCCATATCGATCGACCTACCTTTCCGGGTTCGAGCAAAATAGCCGACCGCGATTTGATTCGAACGCGACTCGCCAAATGACTCAATGTGATCATTCCTTCCTGATGACACCAAGCATGTAATAACTATAACAGAGAGCTGTTAGGAAGTGTAATCAAATCATTCTGGTTAATCCGATGACGCATGCGTATGAAAGCCGATCGTCATGTCTGATACGCGACATCAAACAGCCGGTTCGATAATAATTGCTGTTTCCTGGAACGATTGTTCATTCACCTAGCTAATCACTAACATCACGCACATATGTAATGAATATATGTATGGTACGCAGAGAGACAACATGATTCTTATTCTTAGGTTAATTGGACCATTGAATCATTAATCTTCCGCGACATGTTGATCAATTCAAATAGAATACACATACCGGTAGAATGTTGTTTTTTCAGTATTATTAACGAGGCTATCTGTCCTATCTGTTTACGGTATTTCTTATCTGTCAGGGTAAATATTAGTGAAAAAACCGGGAAGAAAAAGAACGGTTGCCAAGTAGCGTATACACACGCCGTTAAGTGTACGTTCAAGGTGCACACTTTCTGTGTACACAGATATATCAAGAGTCCATTTGTAGTCACGGGACGTACTACGTCGAAGATCATTGCCTCAACGCTGTATTTGCACGCGTTAAATTGTTTATACAGACCATTTCCAATGCCATTGGCGTGCTCTGTCGATACATCGCATATTTTGGAGGCTCGAGGATGATTTGTACGCCATCTGGGTGTGGCTATGGGAGGTTATAGTTAAATATCCGTCTCGTGAAGTTTCGCGACCGTTACATGTCGTAAGAGAGAGAGAGAGAGTGGCGTAGGGCGGGCAAAGGTGAAGAATTTCGAGAGATCGAAAGACGTGCTCGCACTGCCAACAATACCAGTCCGGGCGACGTTGAGGAGTCGCGAAATAGCCTTGGGTAAGGTCAGGCTCACCAAGGTTGAAGGTGTCGGCGAACTCGGCGAAGAACGTTGCCGGTCGAATTTGTTAAAACTTTTTGAATATAGTTTCTAACTTTCGGTACAATCGATTGTCGAATTGACATGACAGTTAAAATTTCAAATGGTTAGAATTTTGCCGCTACGCATAGTGGTGTCGTTCGATCTTAATCAAATGAAGTATCGTTTCAAATATTTAGTTATAATTATTTGTATTATTTTAGTTATCCATATGAGATATTTTACTTATATAATTTTAAGATACATTGAATAACGTAATGTATTTGAGATACCTTTGAAATATGGTATTGCAGAAAAATATTTGACCTCAGTTGTGAGCAAGAATGACTAGTCCTGCCCTAGTTACGAATGAACGAAGTACGCGCGCTTCGCGATATTAAAATGTGATTAAAACGCGACGGTTATGATACTAAAATGTCTGTGATGTAAAGATGATGTACGCGTGAGCTTCGCTCCGAACACGCGGCACAATTATGTAAGTTCTTGTACGACCATTTCCGCAAATCGGTCATCATGTGCTCAAGTGTTATGCGGCTGATTCTCGTAACGTGTTAATTGGACGCGATAAACGTCAAGAAGAAAGATAATGCTTGATTTAATAACTTAGTTGTAATCAGTCTGAGAGAAAAAAGAACTCGCGATAATCCACGACCTACGAACAGAGTAATCGAGTCGACAATCCAATTATCGATCTAGAACCCACTTATTAATAAAGTAGGTTTTCTCAGAAATTAAAAATAATTTCTTTTCATGTTTCTTCGTCAAATATGTATGTTTATGTAGCTAGAAAATGTGTGAGCATTAATTCGAGTGTGAACCGGTAGTTATTCGTGTGCCTAGCACGTGCTAGTAAGCACGATACCGACTGTTTACGGATTGCATCGTAGAAATTCAGTGGCGGATCTAGAGGGGGCGATAGGGACGACCTCCCGAGAGTAATAAAATATAAAAATATTGTGTCATATTCTGAAAAACTTGTTAGGTATATACTTCATGTGTTGTCAATGTATACATATATATATTTGCCGTGCTGTTCGCGATTTGCATGCTTAGCGGACGTGCTCGCTAGTGCATGGAAGTTTTTAGAACGTTTTCAGAATACCATCAGAAAATTTCTAGAAACAATGTTACTACGAATTGTGCGAAGAAACGACAAGTGCACATCGTGGTCGCATTCAGGACTGAACCCCTGTCCCCTCTTGAAACAAATTGTAGATCGATCAAATTCACAGTCGTTCAATGATCACAGTCTGATAACACACATTGCGTCACATCGTGAATAGCATAAGAATATATGTACTATGTATGTTATGTACTTTTGATTTTATCCATTCTTCTCGACCTATCATCCTTACAAGTTACAGTTCTAGGACATAATACCAGCTCAGGTATTTTTTCACTTAAAATTTACTATTTATACTAATGAGTTACAATTTTTAGTTACAATTGTTTGTCTTTCCGATTTGTTAAGTTCTACGGTCAAATTAAGTTGTTTTTTTCAAAAGGTTCAGATTGATCGTAAATTAGCACAGGATTATGCTTCAGGGTACTTTTCAACTTTTCAAAACAAAACAAAATTATTCTATACAGACAAGTGTATATAAATTTTAAATTTTGTAAAAGAAGATTCAAAAATGTACTCAATGTACTTTTACCCCCGCGCCCCCCAAGGGAGACTCCTAGATCCATCACTGTAGAAACTCTTATTTACTCAACCTTCGACGTTTATAATACGAAAACGAAGATATCTGTGTTTCGAAACCATGTGTACACGTGCCGGTTATGCGGAAACGGGAGATAAGTTTCATTCCGCGTAAATTTTAACTGGTGAGAACGCACGTTAATGTCATTCGATTCGAAAGTACGGTTATATTAGATTTCTTTTATCTATCACGTTTTATCATTGAATATTTATTAATAAAAGTAGCATGGAAATTTACTTTCGAAAGAATAAAACGTAAGTAAAATTTCTTGTTAGTTGAGTTATTCATGGTAGTCTATGCAACTATTCAGCAATCGAAATCGAATAATCGAATTTTGGACTTTCGAGAATACGCGGTAAAATTTCGATAATCGAAGGAACGTTAGTTTCCCCAGCGCCATTTCTAACGATGGCGTGTGCCTCGTGAATTTTCGACAAACAAAAGCAGAAAAAGTTATTCTGCACGTGAGTATTCGTTTGAATAGTTCATATTTCGAGTAATGAAAGTGCGTGCGAGTGAAGTGTGGTTAGTGCAGTGTATGCCTGTGATGGAACAGAAAAGAAATCTGTGTGGACTTCCCCCGGTACAATCTTCTGTCAAGTATGGCTATAAATAGGTGCGTATCATCATGCTTTTTCCAATTATTCACGCTTCCTGTATTCGTTGAACTCTCCTCTCGTGATCGACTGTTATTTTTTCTCATATCCGCCAACCCAATATATTTCTAGAACAACGCGTTCTCAGTAAATTAAATATTCTTCCTTCCCTTAAAAATTAATCTTTTAACGGGTTTTTATTAATACCTCATATTGGCTTAACCTCAATATGAAACAAAATACTCGACTCGACTAGTCTAGGCTATCGAACTTTTGCAACTCGCTGTGTGCGAGCGAAAGGAAACGTTAATGTATGAATAAGAGCGAAAGAGAAGCCGAAACGGCAAGCTCGTGAATTAACCGTTGAAGCACGCGGGCAGAGAGTTACGTAAGGGCCTGGTTGCATCATGTATACGCGTGCGTTTCCTACGTCCACGTGCTACACGCGCTAGTTTAGAAGTGAATGTCAGCAACTTATATCGCGGAAGCCCCTTGCTATCATCCCTCGGTAAATACGTGTATACGCGGATCTCTTTTCTAATTCCGCCACGTGTCCTTCCAGCTATCGGTTATGTATCTGGTACCTCAAATTATCTCCGACCTGGCTGCGTCACGGTTAACCGGAAAAGCTGCACCACTCAACGACATTTCTGCGAAATAATGTCGACTAATACCAATATTTCATAATGTGAAAACTCGCGCAAATTATGTACCAATTTTTCCGTTTTGTACTTTGAAACAACATTTCGACATTTTTTCGCTAGGTGGCGGTAAAAAGAACTCAAGGGAGACGGGTTAGGGTTGTGAGGTCGGTAAAGGGGGCTCTCGATTCTTGTTGCAATGCTGAGGTATATGTATTCGTAGACACGAAGCCCGCACGAAATTGAGCAATCACTTGGAATTTCACTCGCAAAGTTACGTACACTGGGCTCGCGTGACTCATATCGCGTCG